TTGTGCTTGCCAGGCAAGTGTTTATTCCACTAAGCTATCTCCCCTGCCTGTCATAGCAGTCATAGTGGGGGAAATATCTACACAAAACAATTGTTTTCTATTAAGATAAGCTTGGAAAGGCAGGTGAGATTTGGAAGAGTTCACCAAAAGTTGAGAACTTCAGCTACGAGGACATTTCCTAATCTCTCTCTCTCTCTCTCCTCAAAGTACCATGCAGGTTAAATAATGTAAGAAAATTATTTGCTGAGACTAACACAGTATGTATGACAAAATTCAAATCAAATTCACTTACTTTAGGTAGAGATAGTGCCCAGAAAGTAAAAAAAAAAATCTGACAGTTCACTAATTTTTCAGTTAATTCACTTTAAACTTCTTGAACTTCCTGTAATAAAATACTAATTTCTAATTACTAAGGATTTTACCACACAAGTCATTCTACATTTTCTTCCTTCTCAGTCTCACTTTCTCAATATTTTCTTACTTCAACATCAGCAAATGAGAGGGTTAAGAGTGTGTAACTAAATAAAATCTATTGATTTTAGCAATGGTGGCAGACCTATGGCACATGTGTTACTATATTTTTCTTTTAAGGCAAAAGATCTTAATGTGCAAATTGTTCTTTCTAAACTAAACTCTCAGCATTCAAGTTTAACTGCAGTACCAGCACTTCCCAATGGGCAAGTGGGTTTTGGGTTGCAGTTCAGACAATGGGTCTCTAAAAGGTTCACCATCATCTAAAAGGTATGATACAAACTTAAGGTCCAAATTCCCTTTACTAATAATAGTTCGATTTCAAAAAGGTCATTTGTATCACTATGTCTCAACTCTTCTCACATACTTACTTGAAAGATTATTGCACTGAAAAAGTAATTCAAAAACTGCCCTGAAACCTTAACAATTTGCCAATATAAACTGTATCATTTGGGGTTCAATGAGTGGTGAAAAATCACTGTGCCTGGCTATAGGGGGATAGGGGGCATAAGGCATGGAAAAAAAGGAATTAAGATGTGTTATCTACAAGTACCAACTGCACATAAGACATGTAAACATTACATACTGCAAATATGTACTAACAAAAACTTTTTAAAAAATCTTTAAAACTTGCAAATAAGCAATGTTTTAAGCTCCCAAAGGCTGTAATTCTAAATAGCTATGATGCTGCTATTTCTTAAAACTACTCCCAAAGATTGTCTATGTACTTTGGTTAGAAAAAGAAAATCCTCAAAAAGAAATACCCAGCATACTCTGCCCTAAATAGCCTAAATTAGCAACTCAAATCCATATGAAACTCTTGAGTGTTCTGTGTAACACTGAAATATAAAACATCCTGACAGTTCTAAACAAAATGTGTTTGAAACAAAACCTGACTACAAACGGTGAATTATTAACTAACCAATAAGCTAATCTCATTAATTTAGAAAATTGTGAACCCAGGTAATTGTAGGATAGACACTTTTAATTATATTCTACAGGAATACTGAATTGTTTACAGTGGTGTTGCTTGGTAACAAAAGGACTCCTTTAACAACGTACTCAGTTGTAAACCTTTTCCAGTACTTTGCACTGTCTGAACATATTAAGAATGCACAAATTCAAAAATCAGAACAAGTTCTCATAAGCTTTGATCTCCTTATCGGTCAGATTTGAAATGGCTCCATCATGCAAGTACAACAATAAAAGGCTTTTAAACTACTTGGCAAAGAGTATTTTTAAGAGCAAAATGTCTACATATTCTGGTCCAAAGCTGAACACTAGGATTTCCCAAAGCATCCGCTCAAGCCCAAGATACACTAACATATTTCAGACGTGATCTCAATAATATCAGCAAACATCACTGCTAAAACTGTCTTCACGGAGAAGGAAAAGGCCGGCACTGCGTTCTCGCCACAAGTTGAGCTGCAGGTGCCACCCATCCAGCCCCTTCCTCAGCCGGCTACACCCCGCAACTCCCAAGTGAATCAAAAGCCTGCACTCGGACTTCCACGCGCCCGTCCCTGGCCCCACCACACGCTCCGACGGCCTCGCGAGGAAAGGAGCGGGCGTGGAGGGGCCTCGAGGGGGCTCAGGGGTCTGGGAGGCTGAGTCCCCCCACACGCAGGAGTCAGCGTCCCCCAAAGAGGTTACCTACCAGACTCACTCACACGCGGTCCCCGCAAGGCGCGCGCGCGCAACTTAGCAGAGACCGGCGTCCTGGGCGCCCTCGCCACCGGGGACACCTCCGCGGTTCCAACCACCGACAGCCACTCCGCTCCGCTCCCGGAGGCATTGGGGCTGCGGGACGCGGTCCCCAGCCGGGGTGTCGCCCAGCCTGCCACGCCCGGCGAGGTCCCGGCGGCCGGGGCTTGCCCAGGGGTAGGGGGGCGGCGCGGGACCCTCGGGCTCGGGACCGCGGCTCGCACTGAGCTACCCCGGCGGGAGCTCCGAGGAGGAGCGGACGGCAGCCTCCTCCTCGCCTCCCCGGCGAGCCGGTCTTCCGGGAGTACCGGCCCAGCTACGGCGCTGACAGCAGCCGAGCGCGCCCTCGGTCCGCGGCCTGTCAGTCACCTCAGCGCCCGGAGCGCACTGGTCTGAGACTCGGCGGCGCGCGAGGCAGGAAGTCCCGCCCCGGCGTGACGTCACCGAGCCGCGCGCGCGCGAGCCGCCGCTGGAGCCGTCGGAGCTGGAGGGAAGCGGACTGCCGCGGCGGGAAGGTTACTGGCCACTGTGAGGGCGGCCGGCGAGGGCGGCCTCCCGAGGCCACTGGAGAACCGCAGAAAGTGCCCCGAGCCCCGGGAAGTCCTCGCCGCACGGAAGGGGAGCGACGCGCCTCGGCAAGAAGCCGTTTTCCGCGCGAAGCGTCTCCTTCCGCCTGCCACGCGTCCCGCGCTCCTCCTCTCCGGGCTTCCGGGCTGGTGGCGCCGCCGCTCCTGCCCTCCTGCCATCCGGGGGTCAGAGTAGGCGTGGTTTCCAGCTCCCGAGCTCGTCTGCTACCCGCGCCGGCCCTGGGGCATCAATCCTCAAATGGGTGCCAGGTTCAATTTGTCAAGAAGAGCTCGCGGTCAGGGCCAAGACCTTGGGAGGGAATCCCTCCCGCTCCACGTCTCGGGGCCTGCGGGGTAACTGCTTGTGTTCGGGCGGTAGCGGGGGAAGGCCACCAGTTTGCTCTATTATTTGTAACCAAGGGATGGAATATTGAAAGATAACGTCCTTTCAGGATAGGTGGTAAGAGGAATTGCCACCTTCTCTTCCTCCACGTTTGTTCCTTAGTTTGTGTTTGGATTTCGATTTTTTTTTTTTTTTTTTTTGTACTGAGAATGGAACTCAAGGCCTTGCACCTCTTAGGCAGGCTCTGCGCCGCTCAGTTCTCTGTCCAGGATTTTGATTTTCACTGTGTTTCACCATTTTATCAGCCAATGTAAGCACATGAAATGTGGTGCTTTGCTGAAATGAGAGAAAGGACCACCAGAAAAGATAGTGTTACTAGATGGATTTTGTAAATGAGATGTGAGAGGTACACAACGAACAAAATGATGTCCAAAAACAAATTGATGCGTGTGTATTTACTGTTAATGATGAGCTCACATCTGACAAGCACGTAGTAGTTCTGGAGCACTTTTCTAGATTATTTGCACTGCTGCAGCTCCGTCGAATAAGTACATTATTTCTATATCTTAAGTTTCACGGGCCAACACTTAATGCATTGATGCCAGACAACTTGAGAAGTCTGGTAGTAATCAGTAAACGCTACCTTGTAAATCCATGATCCGTGAGATTGTTGGCAAGATGACTGAACTGAAAAGATGCTTTACATCTGGGTTTGTTTTTTTTGTTTGTTTTTTTTGTTTGTTTTGTTTTGTTTTGTTTTGTTTTTTGCTTCTGTTTAGTTTTTGGTGGGACCGGGAATTGAACTCAGGCCTTGGCACTTGCCAGGCAAGCCCTTATTCTACTGAGCTATCTCCCCAGCTGTCTCATTTTCTCACACCGGAATGAATGCTAGATGACTTGGAGAATGAAACTATAAAGCAGGGAGAACATAAAGGCGAATGCCTTTGTACTATTGAGGTTACCTTTCCAAGTATATACTTTTTTTTTTCTTCCAAGTATATACTTTTGAAGCCTTTTCCAAATATGAAGACTAGAAACTAAAAGGGAAAAGAACAGTAAAATTGAACCGCGTGAAAATTTTTGCATTGAAATTGAAAACTGCATCATTTGCAAAAAAACCAAATTCTTAGTATACAAGCAGTTCATAGAAAATCAGTTAAAAATTTACCCCAAATAATAATTCCTAAGCCAAGAAAAATATCCAATTAATAAAAGGTACACAGCTTCCAAATACCTATTTTTTGTCTATCGTTGATGTGGGAATACAATTCCTACAATGCAGTATAAAGATTAAACTGGTATAACTTTGTTTACCAGAATTTAAAATATGCATTAGTTTTTGCCCCACAAATCTCGTTTCTTAGGTACTAAGGAAAAGGGAAATGATTCACAATGATATTGTTTGCCATAACATTTTATACAATATATGAATACGCCTAGAAATCCCATCACTAGAACACAAAATTATGGTGCCTGCGTATAATGGAATGTTCAGCCCATTAAAAACAATGTTGGAAATTTCATTTACATAAAAATA